TCAACTTGAAGCAAGAAGGAAGGCAGAAGCATCAAGCAACTATAAAAGTCAGTTCCTTGCTAATATGAGGTTAGTTTTTCTCAAGTTCTGTTTAACAAATCTTGCTCTCTCTAACAAGTTAACTGCTAAAAATTTGGCTATAAAAATAATAATTGTGTCATTTACTAAAATTTTTAAGATCTGTCTTATTTTGTTGTTTGCAAATGTGCTTCATGGTTTATTTTTTCTTTGTTGTATTACAGTCATGAACTAAGAACGCCTATGGCAGCAGTAATTGGATTGCTGGACATTCTTATATCTGATGATTGTCTCACAAATGAACAATATTCAACAGTTACTCAAATAAGAAAATGTTCAACAGCTCTACTTCGTCTTCTTAACAACATATTGGATCTAAGCAAGGTGATACATATATAATAAGCTAAACTTTATATTCTAAAATACTTCAAAACCAATTGCACTAGTGCCAAAAAGCTTCCTAATATTTTGCACTATTTAGGTGGAATCAGGAAAACTTGTACTAGACGATGCAGAATTTGACCTGGGACGTGAACTTGAAGGGCTTGTAGATATGTTTTCTGTTCAATGCATTAATCACAATGTAGAGACTGTTTTAGACCTTTCTGGTATGATTCTCAATTTTGTGCAGTGCATCATTGACTTTATCAAGTTTCTGATGAATTGTATTTAATCAATATCTATTTTCAATGCAGATGATATGCCAAAAGTAGTTAGGGGTGACTCTGGTAGGGTTGTTCAAGTATTTGCAAATTTGATCAACAATTCAATTAAGTTTACTACATGTAAGTTAAAACGTGTATGAAAAATATTACAATATCTATTTAATTTTTAAATGTGTTATAGGCGACTAATTTTATTCTAAACTCTTGTAAAAATGTACTACAGCTGGTCATGTTATTCTGCGAGGATGGTGCGAGTATCCAAATTCTTGCGATAGTCCGAATTTTTATCTTGATCAGAAGAAATCAAGGATTGCACATAAGAACAAAGAGAAGCCAAATGCAAATCATGCAAGGAGAATATCTATGAGAGATAACAAGAATGTGATACTTTGGTTTGAAGTTGAGGATACGGGCTGTGGTATGACAACTGTTTACATTTAGGACTGTCCCTTTTGTCAAAATAAAAATCAATCAAGGAATTAATCAGTGCTTTTCTTCTTTTGTATGTGATATAGGTATTGATCCCAGCAAATGGGATTCTGTGTTTGAAAGCTTTGAGCAGGCTGATCCATCGACTACCCGACTGTAAGAAAATTTCTTTTCAATATAGAAAAGATAGAAAATGAATTTGATGTTGGTAACTGTCACTTTAGCTAATGATTTCGACAGTTGATGAACATCAGACGGATGAAATTTGTAGTTTCTCATTTGTCAAAGCCGTGATGAGAGTCTATCAATATTTATATAACACACTTAGATCAGCTGACTGCAGTGACCAACTGTAGAAGTTATTGAGTGGTTTTTAGCTTACAAATTATTTTGATAATATTATTCTATATGATTATCATTAAATTTAAAAACTAATAGTTTAAGAACTTTTTGAATGCTATGGGCTGAAGAATTCTGATTTCTGAATCCTTTACTTATTTCAGGCATGGAGGAACTGGTCTTGGTCTTTGCATTGTTAGGAACTTGGTGAGTAATACCTTTAATGAGTATAGTTTCAAAATAAGTAAACTACAATGTCATTCTTTATAAATGTGTTTGATGAAAGAAAAAAGATGGATCCAAATTTTTGGAGTCAAATAATCACGCATTTGACGCGGAATTGGATTAGGTAGCTTTATTCCGCGAAAGGTACCGTAACTTTAGTCTAAATTTTGGCGTTTTGGCAGGAAAATAAATAAATAATAAATAACAAGTAAATGGAAAAAAAAGTAAAATAGGAGAGAGAAAGAGACAAAGTCAGGGTAACTTTGCCGCCTTAAAGTCATGGAAACCTTACCCATTTGACGCAGTGACACGATTTAGATTGTCAGATCAAGATCAGACAATTCACATTTTCTTTGAATATAAGTTTTGAGTTTGCTTATCAGTATATAAGTTCCTTTGATCTCATAATTACTGTTGGATTGGATGGAAGGTTAATAATATGGGTGGAGAAATCAAGGTTACCAAAAAGGAGGGTCAAGGAACATTGATGAGATTATGTTTGCTTCTCAGTGCACCTATGGATGTCACAGAACAACACTGTCCACTAAATTTGACAGACAATGGCTTAGTGGTGAGTACATCATTCTTCTTGGCAAATAATACGTAAACGTTTAAATACTAAAAGTTTATGGTAAATCGATAAAAAAAAGTTATTAATTAAAATTTTGAATGCAGGTATTGCTTGCACTACAAGGCAACATGAGTAGATTAGTAACATCAAAGTGGTTAACCAAAAAAGGAGTGTGCACAATGGAAGCATCTGAATGGAACGGACTAACTCAAGTTTTAAGGGAACTCTTTCATGCAAGAAGTTCAATTCATAATAACAACAACTTTGATGCACACTATCCAATAAATCTTGAAGGATTCAAGTCCAAACTACTCACCATAAAAGACATGAGGAACCCAATTTTTGTCATTGTTGTTGACATTAGTTTACTCGACTTAAGCACGGATATATGGAAGGAACAACTTAACTTCCTTCATAAGTATTTCGGAAGAGCAAAATTTGTATGGATGTTAAATCATGACACACCAAATACCATAAAGATGGAGCTTCGTAGGAAAGGTCACTTACTAATGGTTAACAAGCCTCTTTACAGAGGAAAAATGATTCATATTTTGGAAGCTGTTATGAAAAACAGAAATATTGAATTACAAAAGAAAAACATGAAAGAGGGAGATTTGCATGAGTTTCTTGAGATTGATTCTACTCATTTTGATGCTGCCACTAGCTCTGATGATTCAGACATATCTGAAGTTAGCGAAAACCCAATTTTAAATTTAACCAATGAAAAAGAACATTTGGAAGAAAAAAATCTTAGGAAAGAAGAATCGTGTTTCTCATTTTCCACCGAAAAACAAGATGAAAAATTTGAGTGTGAGGGAACAAATAGGGTGACAAGGTTGAGAAAAGAAGCGAATGATAAGAAATCACTCGAGGGATTAAGGATTTTGCTCGCAGAAGATACGCCAGTAATTCAAAGGGTAGCAACTATAATGCTTGAAAAAATGGGAGCTGCTGTTGTTGCTGTAGGCGATGGACAACAAGCCGTAGATGCTCTCAACTACATGGGAGTAAGTGCTGAAGATTGTAGAAGAGAGTCTCTCCAGAAGGAAAGAAATACAAGATCACAAACCGAGATTTTGACTTGTCATCCATATGATTTGATCCTAATGGATTGTCAGGTATGTACTACAAAAACTGACATATATATATTGATGACACCTTAACTTTAATAGCTTTAGGAGCTAAATCTTAAGAATTCGTTTAATTTACTTATTTGAACTTATCTACCGACATAAGTAAGACAGATTGACTATGAATACAATTTATAACGCGTGCATAAGTTGTTTTTAGGTTAAACATACTGATTTTTTAACTATTTGCATGCAAATTTAGATGCCGAAGATGGATGGATATGAAGCAACAAAAGCGATAAGAAAATCAGAAGAAGGAACAGGAAAGCACATACCGATTGTTGCTCTAACAGCACATGCAATGTCGTGCGATGAAGCCAAATGCCTTAAGGTTGGGATGGATGCTTACTTAACAAAGCCAATTGATTTCAAGCTTATGGTCTCCACCATTCTCTCACTCACTAAACCAACATCTTGATTTCTTCTCAGCTTTCATTCCTAAGCAAAAAGAAGTTTTACCATATATTAACATCGTAAATTACATGTATTCTAAAATATAGATTAATTTTACCACATATTAACAGCTTTAATCACATTCGGGCTATAAAGGTTCTTGTTGTAATAAATTTTGGTAACATAAATATGTAAGTTGAATTTTGATTATGAAAGTGTGTTTATATTAAGAAGCTTTAATTTCATTTTCTTAAAATTTCTAGGGTTTTTCTGTTTTTGATCTCGTTAGATGCAAGATAAATAAACTAATAGGATATGAAATTAATAGATTATCATAAATCTTACACTAGATTCAAGACGCGAGTTTTGATTTAAGTGGTTGCAAGGTGGAACGCAGACGGTGGCGGATCGTCGCCGGCGACGGATTTTAGAGAAATAAGGTGGTGAAGGAGAATTGAAAATTAATTTGATGCGGCGTATCCACTATAACTAACAGGTTTAGGTTTTAAAGAGGCAAAAATTATAAAAAAGCGAAATATAAAATTATTGGCCCATGCAGGTCTCGAACCTGCGACCTTCGCGTTATTAGCACGACGCTCTAACCAACTGAGCTAATGGGCCATTTGTTTGAGTTCACGCAATTATTATTTTTAAACAATACTTGACTGAAGCATTGTTCTTGTTTTATAACTCTTTTTGCCATCAATCAATCTTGTTTATATTAGTAGATTATTCACGTGATGTACACTCTATGTAACTATGTAAATGAAATTGAATTCAAGCAGTATTTGAATGCTTTTGAATTTCATAATATATTACTAGTACATGATAGTATAACAAATAAAGTATAGTTCAATAACAAATAACAATCTTTCAGTTGATTTCAATGAGTTCAAGCAAGTAACTCAGAACCACAACAGTTGATGCAATAACCACTCCTAAAACTGCCTTAGCCAATTTGGAATGATAATTGCCATTGGGATTAAAGCCTAGTTCTGAGAGTTTCTTGTGCGACTTTGCATAATCTTTGAAAAAAGCTTTCTCATCCTAATATCAATTCAAAATTATTATTAACACCATAAACTATATATATTATATTATGATATTACAAAGAAAGAAAATATAGTAAAGGAAAAACCTTAGCATAGAGTTCAACATATTTACAAAACTCAGGATCTTCAACTAGAACCTTATCAGTGGGAAGCTTTAACAAGTCTTTTGATTCCGAATTCAATAATTCCCTAATTAGGTAATTAATCTAGTGTTAATCACCAAATTTCATAACACTAATTTAAAATGAAAAAATTATCATGAAACAAATAATCTTACCGAAAATAAGAGTTATCAAACTTGAGAGGATCTCTTGTCCATTGACCTTTAAAGTCAGAGCGATCTTATGTGCATTACCCTTATCAATTAAAATTAACAATATATAATATTAATTAATAAAATTAAATTTACATAATATTAGATTTATGATTCTTAGTCATACCAAAGTGTGGCCTCCGGACAAAGCTACAATGTCTCTATCATTCATAACCATGCGATAAAAAACCTGTCTTAAATGCGATGCACCTGAATTTTGATTCTTTTACATACATCAATTAGTGAAACCTTTCTAAGAGTCGAGATCCAACAACAGAATTTAATTACCTTGTTTAGCATCTGGAAGACGACCTTCTTCTGGAGATTCCAACGAATCCTAATTCAAATAATTTAACTTGTCTCATTGTGAATTTCTGACACGGACACGGATACTGACACAGGATGAATTTACCTTTCTACCAGGAACAAAGTGAATAGCTGGACCACCAGTGACCTCTACCGCCACAAGACCAGCTAGCTGGTAAAGATCCGCATATGAAATTTTGGGATGTTTAGCTTTCACTTCCTCTGATTTTAAACAGAATACAATAACGATTAAACAGATATTAATTAATTAACTAATTAGTTAGTTAGTTAATCAATTATTTAAGTGTCACTCACCACATAATTCAACGGCGATTTTCAAGCCTTTGTTAGCAGAATGATTGAGCTCTTGTTGATTCCTGATAGAACCATTTGGACCTCCTGTTCTTGTTATTGCATCGTAGGTACCAGCATCATGCCATCTATAAATGAATATAATTATAGAAATTATTTTGTATAACAGAAGGTTTGTAATTGTAACTTGTAACGTACGCTAAACGAAGCATGAGAGGAGCGCATTTTTTGTTGGAAATAAGAGAACGAAGATCGCTACGAGTGTTGTCGATTTCCTTAACATACTCTGCGTCAACTCTATATTGAGCCATAGGTGCAAGATTTGTGTGAGAGAAAGAGAGAGGGTTTTGTGTGTTGTGGACTTGTGGTTGGGGAGTGAAGGGGTTGGTTGATTTATAAGAGAATGAGGAAGATGCTGATTATGGTGGTGCCATGCAGCGATGCACGTAAAGGATTTTATTGCTTTGCTGAAATAAGAGGAAAAGGAAATGTTGCTTCACAAGAACAAGATTCGTTTCAAATACAAAATTCTAGATGATTAATTAAGTTGCTATGATAGATAGAATACATATTTGCAGTATCCTGTGTAGACCGCTAGAACATTCTACATAAAGTTAACCATCAATAATTTAGCCTAAGAGGACTAATTTTAGATGAAGAATTGAATTGAGATTTTAAAAGATTTTAAAAAGAAATATTAGAAAAAGGATATGGACTCACCCTCTCAGTTAATCACAATAATGACAATTCATACTATTATTTTTAAATGAATTATACAACATAGTTAAATGATAAATTTTATCAAATGATTTTACACTGTTAGTGCACTCTCTTTTACTAATAGTAACTCATATTAAAATATTTTTAAATATTCAATCAATTTTTTATAAAATTTAAATAAATTTTGTGCTATTTAATTAAGAAAATAAGAGAATGAAATAGGTCAGAAATCGATTTTTTTAAATAACCCAATTTTTAAAAATAAATACTCAAATAATTCATATTTCAAATGATATATCAATTTATTTTATATAGAAAAATTCCGCCAAAGAATGTGTCAATGTTATTGACGCGTGGATTTAAATTTACATATAGGCGTTATTAGCATTGGTGCATGCAATATCATAGCATTAATCCTTCAGACGCATGTATTGATGTCCTAAGAGTTGTCAGTGTCTCTGGCATATGCACGCTATCTTAAGAGGAGCTGTCATTTCCTCTGGTGTCTATGTTGTTTTGTTTTTTTATAAATAGGTGTTTCCAGTGATTTCTGGTAAACAACCGCTAGTCTTCCAAACTATCGAATAAACTTTATTAACGCTACTCAATCTCTTTGGTAACTCACAGGATCGACTAGATTGATCCTAGGACTCCTTGGATATCAAGGTTACTCTCACAATCGAACAATTATTCATGGGTGCCATTGTACAAATGTTTGGTTTACTTCGATCCCTCTCTCTAAGAGTTCAAAATATGGTCAAAATGTATGTGAAAACTAAGTTATACGAATGATTGCTAATTGTAATGCTGATTGAAAAGACATATAAAACTGTATGGAAAATGAAGTAACTGGTTTCGACCCATAAAACATTTAACATAAAAGGTTTCTGGAATGTGGAAGTTTAAAATGTGAAGAAAGCGTTTAATGCAAGAAATCTAGGAATGACTTTAAGTGAAAGTACATGCTTGAAGAATAATACTTGAAAGTAAAGGTATTGAGAGCGTAAAAGTTCTCTGAAATATAGAGTGCTTCGAAATATAAAGAATGCAGTAAAATGTAAAACTTTAAAGAAAAGGCTTTGAAATGAAAAGACAGTAGATAAAGAAACTTGTAAATGTTATTCGACAGAAAGAAAAAGAAGGAAAGTGCTGGAGATAGTAAAAAGGCTTTTATTAAATTAGAAATACATGGTGCTATCATACATACATCTCTCTTGCATTCGTTTCCCTTGCCATGTGGTAGTTTGAATGTTATTGAGTATTTTGTATAACAGATATGACACACTGAAATCCTAACACTAAGACTTCTATTTATACTAATTCGACCCTAACGGTCTCGCTACAAGATCATGCCACGTTTCGAACATGCAAGACAATGCTCCTTTCATCTTTCCACGTGTCCTCAAATGCTCCAACACATAACTTTCAAACTTTGAAAGTCCCGCCTTCATTTAAATTTCAAATGCTTTGGTGTTTCTCTGCTTCGAACGCTCTTCTTAGACTTAGCTTCGCTGCTGTTTCGAGATCCCTTTGGATACGCTCCCAAGATCACCGTTCGAAGCTTCAAGCTTTGACACACTCATTCGAAACACTGCTTCTGCAATTTCGAAGCGTGGTGTTTTAATTCCATTTCGATCAGAACTTCTAGCTCTTTTTGAATTCTAAATAACATTATCAAAATCTTCAGCCAACGAATTGCCCCTTTAAAATATGTATTTCGATCTCTCTGAGAAATACCTATTTTAAACATTTATACAAGATTTTGATAGGATCTTCGAATCATCATAGCATTTAATGCGTTTGACCCTAGTCACATCAATCATAGCACCCTTTGGGTACCTTAACCGCCCAAAGTCACTTCACAGCATGGTGCAGTTATAAGTAATGATTGTTTTTAAAATCACGCCTATTACCTATATCAACTTCTCGCCACCTCTTCATCACACCAATCCATGATCTCCACGTATCATACTTTCACTCGGTGGATGTTTCATCTTCTTATTATAAAACGTCAATTTGACCTTCCTTTTTCCTTCTTTACACTCTAAACCTTTCAAACTCTGGAATTTTAATCTTCTTCTCTCATAAACGCTCTAAGCTCTCAAACAACAAAAATGTCTTCTTCCACATCATCTCAACTCAAGAAAGCCTCCAAGAAGAAGGGAAAAACTACAGGAGCAACTATGGAGAGTAAAATCGTCACCATTCAAGGCCAATCTGCTCTTGCTCCTCAAATGATCTCCAAAGAAAAAGAAATGCTGTACGCATCTCAGGTACTCATCCCTACCCATGTTGCTGGTAAGAGGTTAGCCTTAAACGGCCCTCTTACAGTTTTTGAAATACTAAAGGACACCAGGACCATTTTTCCCGTGTGTTATAACTTCAAACCTTTATTCAACAAAATGGATGCCCCTAGGGCAGTAGAAATTCTTAATCTGAATACCACAGAAACCTCAACTGTTCATCCCAAGGACCCATTTATCTTGGATTATGTAAAAAGCAATTTTAAACCATTCCGATCTTGCCCTACTGCTGATGTTGCTTATCAAAACTGGTTTACGAAAGTAGAAGCCAAAAAATCCCAGCAATGGGAAGAACTAGGCATTTATAACCTTATTAAGCTGTCGAAACCTGGATTCACCTATAGTCATCCTCTGCTATTTGCGTCCCTCTATTTCTGGGATAGTACCTACAACACTTTCCATCTTCCAGGTGGAATGATCACCCCAACCTTCTTCGATATAGCAGCCATTACTGGGCTGTCGCCAATGGGGGAAACTTATGTTCCTGACAATGAAGAGCACTCAAGCATAATTGACTTCGAAGTCAAGTTAGCCAGCTTCTCCAAATTTATCGGCCATTATCATGCTGAAGGGGATAATGTGTCTGACACAGAACACATTGCTTTCTTAACTCTGTGGCTGTCTAGGTACGTTTTCTGCAGTAGATCCCTGCAGGTAGCTAGTAGGTTCATTCCTTTAGCTAGGGATTTACATGAAAATCGCAAAGTGTGCCTAAGCGAATTACTCTTAGTTGACCTCTATGAGAGCCTGAGGTCAGCTGTTTCGAGCCTCAAATCCCACACTTCCAAAAACATTCTTTTAGCTGGCCCATTTTGGTTACTTCAATTATGGCTCAACGCCATGTTCGAACCTTCTTTATCAACTGCCAACACCATAGACGAACAAGATGCAGAAATAAGTGATAGGATAGTCGAAGGCACTAGGCTTCGAAGACTAACCCCTAATGATGACAAGGATGACTTCAAGGTTCAATTTTCGAAGTACATCTTGATACTCTCAAAAAGACACAAGTTCGAAGAGAGCATGGCGCCCTTTGCTTCGAGGGCTCATGGACCTTCTTGGTTCACCATGGCTCTCTCAGAAGCCATCAAGAGTAAGGAAATCCAAGATGTGTGGAGAGCTTTCTTGCTTCCTAGACTTATCTCTTCAAGGATAACCCCAGCTAAGAACCAAATTCTTCTCTTTGCCTACCAACCAAACTTCGTTTCGAGGCAGTTTGGCCTATGCCAACTGATTCCTGAACCTTTGTTCCAAACTGAGAGCGCCATCACATCTGGTCGAACTTTCAAGGCAAGGGAAGCCAAGATCCAACAAGAACAATATCAGGGCTTTGCCCAATTTGAACTGATAGCCTTCGAACCTACTCATCTCGCGGCCAAAGGATTTCTGGAGTGGTGGATTAAGTTTTATCAAACTTGTATGTTCGATACACTTACTATTCGACAGAAACTAATTGATGCCTTCGATGTGCAGGTACCAGCAAAGAAAGGTATGTTTACTCATGCCAAAGAAATAAAAGCTTTTCAAAATTACTTCGAAACTACTTACGACCCCACACGCTTGGACTCCACTGTGCATCAAGCGGCTGAGACCTTGAAGGAAAAATTTAAACAAAAAGTTTCCAAGCTAAAACTTCCTTCAGGGCTGTCACCTGAGGATAGGTATAGGTTGGCATTCGAAATGCATCCACCTAAATTTCCCAGATTACCTACCTCAGAACTGGCTCTGGCTTGGTTTCCCCCATATCCATGGTGGTTTACTTGCAAAGAGATGTTCAAATATCTTCAAAGGAAACCAAAGCCATCTGAGACTGTGACATGGGCTCGACACTGGCTTCATGATTTCCCAGGACATCTTCGATATGACCTTTCTGCCATGTCAATTAAATCTGATCAAGGCACAGGTGCGAATGCTTGGGAAAAACTCCCAAATATCTTTATTTTCCAAATCTTTAACCTTTGCTTTAAATGTTTTGATTTTCAGCTATCAGGATAAAGACCACTGCCTCGAAATCGAAGGAAGGGAGTGCCTCTCAAGCCTCCATCGAAACTACCGAAAAGACTAATCCACCCGAAACGACTACTGCTGCTGCAACTACACCAACAACAACAACGCCAACAACAATAAGTGCCCCAATTCCAACGGTAATCACTTAGTTTTTTATGCTTCGAATTCACTCAATCCTTTTATATCTAACTTCGTTAAACTTCGTGCAGACCAACAAGCTTCCCCCCACTACTCCCAAGAAGCGGAAACCAAGCACCACTGGGGAAGATCTGACTGCTGGG